CCCCTGACAAGGTCCAGGCAAGCCCAGTATACATGCTGTGAGAAGATGTTATCAGGCCATACTATTTTTATAGATAGAAAAACTCATTAAGATGAACACAAAATTAGAATGCACCTTTTGAATAACTGGACACCTACATCAGAAATATGTCTCCTTCAAGAAATAGACTGCCCATGCTCATGTGGCAAAAGTGTTGTTTTTTATTTCATGGTTTGTTGACATTCAGTGCTGTGACTGTGGACTTCTTGTAGGAGGAGTGGGAATGTCTAGACAGAGATCTCCTCTTGGAGAAGTACAGCAGTCTGGTTCTGAGGGTCAGAGTAATTTTCTTGCTGTCTCCCTTGCTCTTTCTCAGGGTTCTTGGACAGACCACTCTGCATGTGTGTGAGCTGTGTGTCAATGAAGTTTCACATCCCATAAAGTGAGATCCCCAGAGATAAAGAGGCATTTTTCATGATATTTTCTCTCTTCTTCATATTTATCCTTTGGCAGGTGTTACCTTCTTTTGGTTTTGTTCCATGGAAAGTTCCAAGTACATCTGAAGGATCCCTTTCCCATATACAAGTCTCACATTGCTCAGTGAGTCCTGCTCACCTGTGAAGCAGAACAAAGCGCCCTGCATAGTGAAGAGAGACAAGGCAGTAGCAAAGGATCCAGGTATGTTACAAGGAATGAAGAAGGGGTGGGGTAGATGTCAAATGATGGTAGGAACAGGACAGGAAACTGGTTTTTGGCAGATTCTATTTCATTAATGATTATGGAAATTTTCACTGAAAAAAATACTAGATGTTATAATATGGATTTCCCATTATTGGCTGTGTAATAAGCAGTCAATTGTTCTCAGTATTTGAAAAGTTGTGAGTCTCTGACATGACTGTTGCCCATTGAAAATAAAATTTCTTTGACCCAGGCTGAAAGCAGCACCCTGGATATGGATGTGAACTGAGCCATTTAAAGGCAGGTTGAGTATTTGTACATATAGCAAATATCAGTAGTTTGTGTCTGTGTAGACCTTGTTACCTTCCTTTTCATTACTTGTGACTAGTACATACCAGGTTCCCAGTACTCCATATATTTCCTTCTGTGGAGCTGGCCTCATATTGAACCAGAAAACCTTCTGGTATGCATAAAATAGTCTTGCCCCTATGTCACCTGTGGGCATGCCTTGCCTGACAGATTGGGATTATTGCACACAGGATCCAAATCTGGTTATGGCCATTGATAACTGTGCCCCCTGTCCCATCCTGCATAGCAGTTTTTGACAAAATGAATTCTACGACCAGGGGGTCCAAGATATCTGTAGACAGTGTGAGTGATCTGATGATCTGATCTGAGCTTTCTCAAGAAGGTACACTTGCTTTCTGACTCTCCTATTCATGAATTGTTTTGCAAAGTTCATTACAGTTGTAATTCTTATCTCGGATATTCACATGATGATGCACAATAGGCTTTGAGCTGTGATCCAGAACCTTCTTATATTTAACACACATGTGATTGTTGTCTGTAAAATCAGCACAGTTAAGGATAATAGGGATTGATGCATAAGTAATAGATTCAATAACTGCTGTTTCCTTAAGAAAAGTAAACTAGCAATGCTTAGGAATAGAGTTCTCAGCAGAGGCCCTTTGTGCTTCACTGTCCTTAAATGTAAGCCCAGAAGAACCTCCACTCAACCCACAAGGAACGATAATAAACTTCTCATTCTTAGCTAAACTGCACACCTTGCAGAAGGTCAGTTAAGTAACTGAGGAATAATGAACCCCAAAGAAGGAGCTCTCTGAAGGATCATATGAAAGAAAACTTCTGTTATCTTGTTGTGTATGCTCTTGAGACACAATCATTATATATAGAATTGGTCAACTAAAAACTATGTAACTAACCTGGGCTGTCATGGAACTGACCAGATCCTCTTGCTTCAGCCTCCCTAGTGCAATGATTAAAACCATGCTGTCCCAGGACTAAATATAGAGACCACATCTCAAAAAATAACTAAACAAAAAGATCAATATGCATGCACACAACCAAAAGCTCTTTCTGTAATCTAAAAGCTTTCCATTTTTAAAATTAGCAATATAGTAGTTTAATCCAATAGTAAAAACAGAACATTCTATGTATACTGCAGT